AAATCAACCATGTTTCCTTCAACCTACGATTTAAAAGCATGGAGGAGCAGCTCATTCTTCGGCTTGTTACTTCCCCCTGTGCAACTTTTCATTAATCAGAAATATAGTTTTGTTTCAGTGATCAGCGTTCACCAGGAAGAATGGGCATCCACACTGGCACTGCTTCTTATGTCTTTTCCTTATATTTTCTTCGCTTCATCCTTCACACATCAGCAGCCTACGGAAGTGCAACCATATCATCGACTCTGGGGGTGTCTTCAGCAACGAACGTGTTCAGAGTTAGTTTGTTGTCCACGAACGTTATGAATTGTGTAGTTTAATGTGCATATTAAATGATTGTTACCACAACAGGTCACCACCACCACCACCGCCGCCACCAACTAGGGGAGGAAGAGACTTTGGCCGGGACTACCCTCCAGCTAGGGATTACAGAGACAGGGGTGCTAGAGATATGAGAGATGAGAGACCTGGGTGAGGGAAATTTTCTTACCAGATTTGGTATATTGGCATCTAGATGGTGTCTGCACACCATTACCTATTAAAATTCATATGATGTTTTAGCGTATGTAGTATTGTTCTTCACTCACAAGTTATTCAGGAGTTTCATACTCCTATTTACCCAGAAAGAAGATTGTAGCACCAAGGTTAAACATAAGCAATATTTCCATTTTAGGTACAGGAACAGAAGTCCTCGTTATCGATAGTGAACACTGTATAAAAGTAGGAGGCCAGTTATGTGGATTGGGTAGATGAACAATGTCCCAGGATGCAGAGCTACAGAACAAACAGAGTTGCTAAATGTAGCATCTGAATGTTGTCTGCAACAAAATGTTATGCCCAAGAAGGTTGTGGCACTATTACGTTTTTGTTGTAACTGTGACCCTGTGTTCAAAAAATGTTTGAAATTTTATATGGAAGTTGAATCTAGGATACATTGTATATTGTAAATATTTTATAGTGAAGCCAAAGACTTTTACATAGAACTGTCTAATAATGGTTCATATTGTTACATTTAAAAATCTTTTTTAGGAATACCTATTTATTACAAGTTATTCAACAGGATAAGTATTTCAAAATTGACTTGTATGCATGTTCAAAAAAAAATGTGGGCATTTGGGAGCCCTCCAGTTACTATATATAACAGTTTGTGAATTATGCCATTTTTGACGTCCTTGGTACCCATTTTCTGTGTACAACTTCTTTTCAATCCAATGTTAGTATTGGACAGTCTAAGTATAAACACCAATGTGGACAAAGGGTATCTGAAAAAGGGAAAATGTTCAAAATTTCATGAAGCCATGCCCAGTTCAATGTTTCGTAACACATGAGGTAATTTTAGTTGAATATATCCAATTTTATTTCAGACTTGTATGATGGTAATGCTGTATAAGTGGGTTTTGTGTTTTAGGTGGTTTTAGTTTTAATGCTTGTGAATCTGACAAGTACGCCAAATACATATGTCACTGCAGGATCAAAGGTCTGTCTTGCTTCAGTGCTGTAAATAAAATAACATTAATAAAATACTATTTTGAAATCTTTTATATTCTAGAATTTTGATGACTCGTGCATAAGGAGAGAAATTGATAGATTTAGTAGCATATTAATGAATGGCGGATATTAAATATAGTCGTGCAGTGAACCTGACATTTACACGCTACGCTACGAGAGGAGGCCTAAAAGTTTTGGGACAAAAACTGAAGAGAAAAGCTTTAATTTTGAAAATAACAAAACTAAAATAATAATTCTCAAAATATCTTCATTATAATTGTAAACACTTCTGGGAGCTGTATTCCCATTAATTTGCATGATAATGCTATGCATATTTTGGCGCCAGGTTTTAACCTGCTTCCTTGCCTTGTTTGACGATACAAATTAAGTTATTTTCAAATTATCTCTCGGCGATGTAGCGTCCATTAGTGGCAATTACTACATACGTTTTTCTCGCACTCACGCAAAAACACAAACATGCTTACTTTAAGTACACAAGCAAGCACATGCAGAGAGAGATGATCCCATTGGTGGGAGGTAGTGATCACAGTTCACGGAAAATAAAATCACCATTTGCAAATCACATCAAATAACCTTTATTCATACCTCACTGACAATGCGCGTCGAAAATCCTGAAAACCACGAGTCACGGTTTAGATCGTGTATATTATCGATGGCATTTATCCGAAAAAATACGCCTCTTTAGAAATTGCTTAAAAAGACTGAGATCGAAAGTTGGTTTCACTCACTCTTGTCACAGTCTTTACACTTTTTTCACACAAAATAAATCCTCGTTGTTACTGTTAGGTTAAATTAGAAAAGTAAATTTATTGTTGGTAAATCAGTGAACGTTAAAACCAACAAACAGCTAACAAAGGTGTATTTATTATGTCTTGCTAACCTTTATAAAATTGTAATCGTGCATTTGCCGCTGTTTTGGAAGTTAGCGTCGCGCTTATCGCCTTTTAATGATAAAAATTACCAAGAAGAGTAAAATTACGAATTTCACCTCTCTAAACTAAAAATATATGTCAGAATAATTTTTGTTAGATTTAATGATTAAAATAATTGTTTTAACCGACCAACACAGGACTCTACGCAACACAGACAAGTATAAATTCATGTTTTTTTTTAAAGACGGAATTGGTAGCGATGTGAAATTGTTTGGTGAATTTCTCACGGATGGGTCTTATAACCTGCAGCTGCATTCATTTGAAATATAACGATCGAAATATAAGTTTCCAAGCCGAGTAAAGCGCGAGTGGCATCGAATGTCCCAACTGGCTGCCTTTCTGTGGATGTAAACGGTAACAAGTCACCTTGAAGTATGCAGAATTTTATATTTAAACAGGAATTCTCTATTGCGAGGCTGTGATTTTCAATGCCATCGATCTACTGTTCTGTATATAAATGCCTCTCTTAACACCGCCATAGCTGATTATGACGCGAGATCATCTTAGATATGGTCTGTTAATCGAGCATGAAAAATTCTTACATATCAAAAATATTCGAGTCCTGCATCGTGATATTAGTGATTTTATTGTTAATATATTAATTTATAATTAATTTATTTAATGCTTAATTCGAATCATTCCGTCAACGCACCGAATTTTAAAAGTGCTTTTTTTCGTGGGGTAGGGGGAATCAATAAAAACGAACCCCCCACTAGGAAATCCTGGATTCGCCACTATATAGGTACCCCTTCACTAACATCAAAAGGTGCTGGATTCTTACATCTACAGCAAGATATATTTATGTAAGATAGTTGATTCTAGGGGCTCTAATCCGACTCGGGATAGTGTGGGTATCGGCTCGAGTTATGCCCGGAGAAAAAGTTACGCAACACCAGTTTTATTTCTAAAACTAAAAATCAATTTTTTTTTAACCTGGACATTGCCTAGTTATGGAAGAAATCTATGTGACAGAAATCACCAAATCTTAAATTATGTTTAAGTGAGAAGGGGTAATTGAAAATAATTAAACGAGCCACGTGCATAGGCATGCAACTCCATTGCAAGTCTGATGATTATTTTTCCATCTGCGCACGCCTTGTTTTTTTTTTTTTTTTTTTTTTTTTTTTTTTTAACAAAAAGAAAATTTGGAGAATATAGTTTTATTCAACTATTATATACAGTAACATTCAATTTCAGAAGTACTTAAGTAATCATTAATGAATTATGTAAATGCAATGAATCAATAAATGGTATTACCCGATGCCCTCGGGCCGTGGGGAAAACCCGTCTAAACCCTTCGTGGGGAATGCCGGGAAAATGCCCACGCCCGGATGCTTCAGTCTTTAAAACATGATAACTTTTTTATTGGCATGTCGCCTTGCAGTTCATAAATATCGTCCCATTTTAGACAGCATGGTGCACCTGAATGAACTTTTTCTCGTGATTGCAAACCATTCTCTATATACACTATACTGGTACACAAGATGAAGCACAAGTATTTACCAAAGTTCATGCAATTCCTACTGAAAGAAACACCTCAATGATTGAAATTAAACTTTGACATATATAACTGTTTAAAATAAAGTTTCTCAAATGTAATTTTGCCTTGAAATCGCAACTACCTGTATGATACAAGTAAAGAATAAAGCAAGCCTGCTTCAACATATTTCATATTACACCGTATGACCGTCCATGCAAATTTCAATATGAATTTTTGGGTCCGGAGGAAAAAAGTGCATATATGATGAATTGGATATATTTGTCAACTATAACACTTGAGAAAATCATAATATTAGTAATGTGCGATCCTCAATCTTGAGAGATGACTGTGTGCACCCAGCCATCCCTCACGAGGAGCAGACTGTGTACAAAAAATATAATGAAATATTTTCTCAAACGTAAAATATTTCATTATAGATTTTGCACAAGCTATCAATGTAAAACCTCTTCATGTAAAAGCCTTTACATCAAGTCGGATTTTACAAACATGTGAGGGTTAGTTGAGGTTAGTGTGCGGATTATGATCTTCTCAAACGCTATACTGACGAACAACTCCACATCATCAAAAGCACAAATTTGAAAAATGACTACATCACTAAGATTGAAATAAAGCACAGACGACCATAAGTGGTGGTAATACCAATGTTTTGCAGGCGAAAACTTATCTGCATTGAGATGTGGATAAAGCAACTGGATATTCTATTTCAAGTTTTAATAATAACTGTAGAGGCAGACTTAAAATTTTCACACAGAACCACAATTCATCTTATTCAATTGAACATTTATGGAATTATGGATGACCATACTGACCGTCAGTTTTCTCTTAAGCTTTTGGAATAAAATGTTTCGTCGTCTAAGTGAAAAAATAGAACTTACTAAAAACATTACACCCAACTCATATCTGTGACATATGAAGCTCAAATATTATCAATATATAAAAGGCCCGAGTACATTATTAGGTTGTATTCCTCTTACATTCAGTACATTGCTCTTCATTACCATTCCACATTCTCAATTTTTTGCAGACAAGCTGTGTCCTTAAAAAACCAAGACTGCTAAGACGTCCGATCATCAATGAAAGTGGCTACAGGGGTTCGATGCTAGCGCTATTAAGTGTTTCACATCTTGGACATTTTGGCTAGGATTGATGGCATTTGCGTTCGGGCATTATTCCTGGAAAACTGCCATATCGTAGCCTACAAATGAAATGTAACATTTCACACAAGGTATGAAAAGTAATTGAAAACTTGCAGTAATTGCAACAAAGAACATGTATGTCACTGGTATTTACACATCGTTACCTGTAGCAAGTATTTTTATGTTTCATAATGCTTTGGTTCTTAACACGATTATTTTATTTTATTTCATTTTATTTCTATAAAATAACACAAAACCACAGTATGATTTAGGAGAGTGCTAATATTCTACAAAAAGAAAGTGACTAGAAAATAAGAGGGATAAAGGAAGGAATATGAAACGCGAAAACCCCTAACAATCTGAACAATATAAACAGATGAAAATACATGCTCACCTGTACGATTGCCTCTTAGTACCACAAGGGCGAGGTTGGGGGTAGTAGCTTCTGGTATTCTAGACCAGTGACAACGCCACGTGTGTCACATTGAAACTGGTGAAGATCTGAAAGTTGGCCGATAGGATGTCAAAATATTTTACTTGAGC